GGTTTCTCTGGTGAGAGGGTTGTGTTGAATCGGGTGTAGTTATTTTATTTATGGTATATAATGGTCTTACAGTATGTGGACATAAGTAAATGAAAACATGACTCATGTTTTGTGTCAGCGTGTCACTGACTTTGACAGACTGACCTAGCTGTTTTACATTATTTCTTCCTCAGCTGTGTCTGTTTGTAGCAGCATCTAGTGTTGGCTGTGTTGCAAACCTGTGTAGGTGCTCTTTAATTAGCCTGCGGTGGGAACAGCGTCAACCTGTTTACATCGTTGCTATTGTTACTGGAAGACTAGCCCAGTGGCCCTAATCACTGCAAACATGCCCCCCATTGCCCCGGTGCAAGTCTGGTGAAGGTCAGGAAGTGCTTCATTGTCTCTGTTTGCTGCTGTTTTTCTGTCATTATTTTGGCTGGGATTGTCACTCACAGACACATTTTAGCTTATTAACTACAAATCCTCTATGGTTAACCTTAAAAGAAACTGTTTGTGAGTTCTCTCTGGCTTCATCCCACGGTCGACAGCCTTGTGATAGACTGGCGTCCTGTCCAGGGTGGACCCTGCCTCTCGCCCAGTGTCAGCTGGGATAGGCTTCAGCAGTGACCCTGTTCAGGAATAAGTCCATCTTCTCTACTGCCCTTGGTGCCAAGGTTACTGAAGAGCTGTGACGGTCAAACACACTTGTCTTTGACTTTGTAATCTGCCAATAAAAGCCAGCTGGTCATGTGAATCAGACACCAATCTGTCCCACATCTCAAGATGCATCAGACCATCTCAGGACTGACATCTTCTTGCCTAGATTCCCAGACTAAGTGGAATGAGGAACAGGACAGTAATGTATTATTTAAAGCCCCAGTATCAGTTGATCAGAGTAACTCAAGCAGCAGCTGTGGCATGAGGATCAGTACCACTACTGGCACCAACAAATATTAATAGTTGTGCTCATTTACAGTAGCCAAGGCAGTGATCACTGTTCTCCAACAAAGAATGTGACTGAGATTATATAAGCATGCATCACAAGTGGACCTGAAACAGCCTCTGTTGTCAGTGGCACGCACAATTAGCATTTGATCTCTGTTGTCCTTTTATGACCCCTGTACCGATCTAGATCAGGTCCAGTTATAAGTTACAATTATAGTGCAGTCATGAGATTTTGCCACTAATTATACTGTACACCAGCTGTGAACAGAACTGAAAATGACCTAATACTACAAGATAAGAGTGATTTGATCAAGTTTTCCTTCATGGAAAAAAAGTAACTGCACATAATTTTAAATGTATAAATTTATATATACATACAGACATTTCAAACATGCATTACATTGTTTAAATAAAAAAGAAAGTTAATGATCAGATCGTAGGCAGCTCACAAGTAGTAGTAGGTGTCAAAATGTTGCCTGCAACATCTCATCTAACAGTTCAGGGTGGATGGATGTTCTAAAAACAAATCCCTTTGCCCTAAAATTGCCCAAAATTTCCAAAAGCAATCTTGTCTTATTTTGCAGTTGCATCAGGAGTAAATCTAACAACAAATACACTTCCCTTCCTGAGTGTGCTTCACAATAAAAGCAACACTCAGTTGAACACTTGAAGAGGCAGTAGGAGTAGAGGATGTTTATATTGCATTACACTTAAGAAACATAGCTATGACACAGCTTTAGTGAGCAACTGACAAATATACAAGCTTCGATCAATGAGATAAATGTATGAACAGGAATGCTGGAGTATAGGCATAGGCTACATTATTTCCTTAATCCCTTGTGTGTAGGCATTTTGAATGGCAGACTCTGAAAACTACTACACAGAGAGGCAACTGCAGAATATAAACAAGCTTAATGGCTATTGCAGATGAAATGCTGATCATAAATGGGTTTTTATCATTACATAAATATAATCAGTGCCCCACTCCATTCAGTCTGTCTCACTGAATGACAAATTCTCTCGTCCTACACAGTAAATGCTATTGTATGTTGCTTTAGTGGGACATCGATCCTCTGAATTTGACTCGTGTAGCCTCACTGACCTTTGCTCTGACCCCTGGAGGTGATGGTGACTTGGCTGGCTAGAAGTGATGATGAGACTGGAAAGAGGAAGGCATAAACTCAGTGACGTTCTCTTTGGAAAAGGTCTGAGAAAGCTTTGGCACAGTGGCGGTTATTCATCCTGGCATGATTGGGGACCATTGGGGAAAAAAGACTAAGCATGCAAGTTTGAACTATTATGATGGTGTATCAATTGCAATTGGTACAGCAGCCTCCCTGGCATGATATGAAAACAGTGTGTGCCATTACATTGGAAATCAGCAGTGCCTGGGGTTAAGCATGGAGTGTTTGTATAAAACCTAATAAGAATTCTTTTTCAGGAGGGCTGCTCTCCACACACACAGATTCCTAGACTTTCATCTATAATGCATAAGATGTCCGGTCTCTGCTATACATTTGCCTTCACAACAACAGCAAATTACTAGCACGGTTTCCACATTGCTACAAAACACATACAGTCGGAGAATTGTTTAGCAAACAGATCCCGTCTCCTCAGACAATTTGTCCCATTCTCCAGCCAAGCTCTTTCGGCCAGAGTAGGAGGGATGGAGGAGTGTTTTGCGCATTACAGACGTAGGTTCCCTTTAGGGTGTCTTTGCTCCACAATTGCTGCTTTATGAGGATACTTATCTAAAGCCAAAGAGAGCAACAGAAGCAGAACATGTGAAGATGTCTGGTCTCTGGTTCTGCGTCACTCTCGAGTCTTTTCCTTTCTTTGCTGTTTGGCACTGAGAGCATCCTTTTGTAACCTTGTTTCTTTGACATGCAGACATCTCTTTCCAACTTTTTCCCCTTTATGTCATCTTCAAGCAAGGTAACAGACTCATGATGCCAAGTGAAAACTGACAGAATTGTATTATAATGTTAAAATTTCTTTACGTGACAGTCACATTTTGGGAAATCCGCTTATTCACTTTATGGCTGGGATGCAGATCAGTATATAAACCAGAGGTGGAAAGTAACTACGTACATTTATTCAAGTACCATCCGCACTGTCCTCAAATATTTTCATTTTCTGTTACTTCATACTTTGACTTCACTACATTTTAGGTATTAATCAAATTAAGTAGTTTAATAGTAGTTTAGGTAGTTTAATTAGCTCCATCTTTATTAGCTGCAACTTTAAAGTGACAAAAACAACAATGCATCAATAATTATAATCAAATTATATGATATACATCAATGTAAAATGTGCCATTCTGCACAATGAATACTTTTACTTTTGGTAATTTAAGCATATGGTGCCAATACCTTTGTACTTTTACTTAAGTAAAATGCTATCTTTCCATTGACTGTGTATGCAGTCACACTGTCTAAAATTCACTTTGGATTCTATCTGAACATAGATTAGAAAAACAACATTTAAATTAAAACTGAATAAAATGGAAAGAAAGAAAAACAAAACCCTTTGGTGTCATCAGATTCATCCACCCACACTGTCCATCTACCTCCCCAGTCGCCAATTAATTACCAACATTTAACTTGACAGTCTTACAGTTTCCACTAAATATACTGTAGAATTTAACTGAATAAGTAGCAGCTGTGTTAATGACAGCTGATTCTTTGACATTAAGAACATTTACAGTTCATTTGTTTATCACAGTCAAACTGTAAGGACAAGCGTTATTTGCTATGTGGGCTACAGCATGTGGCCATTTTAATCTTGTAATTGCAGTCAAGACAGTAAAAGCCACCTACCTTTGATATCGCGACAAATTAAGGCTGAGTCAACTGTTTAATTCTTGACATGGTATTTATTTAACACCCCACTGCTTTCACCTTTGTATGATCTCAATCATTTTGTATGATTACACTCTCTTCTGTCTCTGTTCTGTTTAGTCTTGCAGTTTGTCGATCCCTTATCTCACAAACCTTAAACAGTTAAAAAAAAAAAAAAGCCATGTCCACCCATCTGGATCCGTGCTCTCTGCACCGACTGCTCGCCTGTAATAACAACACAAGTTCCAAACCCTCAGGACATAATAACCTAATGGTCCATGCTGCTTTTGACACTTTGTCTTACAGAACTAGACAGATGAGAGGGAGCGATTCACAGAATGTGAGAGAGATGCAGCAGAAAGATAAAGAGAAGTGGAAGCCAATTTTCTTTTGACTTGTTATGGGGGGGGGGGGGGGGCATCTGACTTGCAAAGCTGCTTAGCGATATGATTCAGTTGTAGGGGGATTTCAATCTGCACTCACCCCCACTTCAAGCATTGGGATGGAGGCGGACAAAAAAGAGAGGCAGAGGGGGAGTGTGTGAGAGAGAGAAAGACAGGAGAAGGAGAAGCAAAATCTGGTGCAGTTCTATGAGAAAATGACCTACTTCCCGTCATCTCGTTCTCAATTGGATCAGAGAGGGGGGAAGACCTCAGAGGGGCATGGGGAGAGAGGTTGATATGGCATGGTTAAATGAAGGTGAGTCTGGGGAATAACCATGCATGACATCGGTGTAGATGGTGTTTGTGAGATCATGCAGTAAAGCACGTATGTTGCATGATGTGCCACTCTCTCTGCAGTGTTAATTACCCCAAATAAGAGTTGACTATCAGAAAGCCAACATTTGAGGGGCCAGGCCTCGCCAGATGGGATGTTGTGTGCGTCAAACACACAGGATGTTATTGATGGAAGTCGTATGCTTTTCAATACGGACGTTTCTGTGGGTTACGTTTGGTCGGCTGTGATTGGTTGTTTTTAAAAAAGATTTTCTACACTTGTATTACTTATAGGACTCTGTTATGTACTTTTATGCTCTTTGCCACAATACATTGGTCTTTACTGTATTCATGTAATTCAGCCTGGACAGATTAATTGAACAGCTAGATACTGTCAAGCTCATCCTCGTGACTCTGGCTGGGTGGACAGTGAAATCAGTCCATCCTCATGACCCTACCCCTCTCTCGTTTTCACATACACACATGGTCTTTCATTTTCCTTTCTCTCTGTATATTCCAGTCCCCGAGGACCTGTCTGTGGAGGAAAGAGATGAGCTGTCGAACATACGGCGCAGGAAAAAAGAGCTCCTCGATGATATTGAAGTGAGTACCCGTCCATGAACGATAAAAGGTATCATAGGTAGGGCTGGATGATATGAGTCTGAGCAAATTGTGAATCAGTTAAGCAAGTGTTTTGTTTGTCTGAAGACTCATCATACTTAGCATTGAATATTAGTGGGATTTTTTTTTCCATGTTGTGAGTCTGTGAATCAGAACATTAGTCCTATTGTGTTTCCTGTCACCTCTTATCTACCTTCCTACCTATTAAGATAGTGTAATAGTGATTTTAACCATATGACCTGGCCCTGACTGTACAGAAGCCTTTTGTTAGGATGCCCTTTGCTATCAACTTAGAGGTAACTATCAAATTAGGATCCTCAAACAGTATGTACTTTTTGCCCTCTTCTATGTTTTTATTAGAATTATTGAAACAAATTCTAGTATATGAAATAAGAGATTGAGTCATTTTGCTGCTGTGTTTTCTGCAGCGGCTGAAGTGTGAGATTGCAGAGGTAATGACAGAGATCGAGCAGCTAACCTGTGTGGGAGAGAGGTGAGTTTCTTCTATGGTTCCCTGCCATTATTGTCCATCAAAGAAAAGGCTGAATTGTTCATTCTAAGGCTGCAACTAGCAATAAGTGGTCTTTTGTGATCATTTGATTAATTTAGTTTATAAAACTCCACAAAATGAACAATATCCAGTGCTATTTCCCAGACCCCAAGGCGGTGTCTTCTCAGTGCTTGCTAACAATCCAAAACCCACATAATGTGTACAAATGTTGATTTATTTAAAATGTTGATTAATTTTCATTTAACTAATCACTTCAATATTCAACCATTTCCTCTTCTGTCCTTTAATAAGACATTCAGACATACAGCTGAGCCTCGCACCTGTCATTTTGTGTGTGTTAATCCCCGTTTGTTTGAGGAGTGAAGTGGGACAGTCCCTTGATTAAACATTAGCCCAGCAGTCTGTATATTCACAGGCTTCCATCTGATTGGTTGATAAGGTGATGTGAGTCCGTGTGTTTGTGTCTCCGGTGCAGCTGGTAAAGGGGCTTGGACTATTTTGGGCACAAAGGAAGCAGAGAGCTGCACAGAGCCACAAAGGTGGAGATTTCCCTGTAGGGCACATGCAAAATGTTATTTTGAAGATGAGTAACATTAAAATGGAAACTATTCCTCCAAACAGCTACAGGATGGAACTAGATGCACAAATACAGTACAGTTGATACTAATTCAGTTTTTTCAGTTTAATCCCACTGTACACAGTTTACAGAGTAGCATACAAACAACGTCACGTCACGTCAGGGATGAACTTGTCACATACCGACCTACTGAACAAACAGTGCAGCCTGGGGACGACACCACACCCTTAACTGGCAGATGACGGATGTGTCTGTTTTCTCTACTGCAGCAAAACTACACAAAGAAACAAACAGATTGCCATGGGAAGGAAAAAATTCAACATGGACCCTAAAAAGGTCAGGTCCTGAATTGATTGTCTGTCTGACTTAATAAAACTGTTTTTTTTTCTGCTGAATCTGCTGCTGATTTGATTGAGACACTTGAATGACATTCTGAAATTTCTCCATCCATCAGGGCTGTTAAAACATAAAAACTGATAAATTAAGTCTAAGTGTGCCCCCTTTTTTGAAACAGGGGATCCAGTTTCTTTTAGAGAATGACCTTCTCCAGAACACCCCAGAAGACATTGCACAGTTCCTCTACAAAGGCGAGGGGCTCAACAAAACAGTCATTGGGGACTACTTAGGAGAACGGTGAGTTCTTTAGTTTTCCTTCCTTCTCTCTGTCAAATCTGCACTTCATGTGCTCAGACGTGGGCATAAAGCCCGGGGAAACTGGTAGTCGGGATTTATGGAGCAACCTGTGCCAGTAAAATAACCGATCAGAAATGTGGTTCTAAATGAAAGGGTATCACTGGGCTGTTGAAACACCAGAGGTTTCATGTAGCCTGGCTCGCACAGTGACGTTCTATCTGACACTGGTGCTGCGACCTGACTGCAACTTTTTCCTTTCCATGTTGACCCCAAAACTAAAACTGTAAGTGAATTTGTTACTGCACTGTGTTGAGTCTAATGTCTGTTCTGTCCCTCCTCTCCTCCAGGGATGATTTTAACATCAAAGTCCTGCAGGCGTTTGTGGAGCTTCATGAGTTTGCAGACCTCAACCTTGTACAAGCCTTAAGGTGATTTAACGATCAAAAACAGCACCGTGGGTCACACTGGAGTGGGTGTCAAAGTTTGAGTAGTTCAACTATGAGTTTAGAGGCTTATCAGATACCAAAAGCACTGTACGGCAGTTTATAATGCAATGAGGCAACTCTGGGAAGTCATCATGCAATCATAATAGTCTGTCTTGACAGTTACAAGATAAACAGCAGAGTTAAGTTTAAATAAAATATGGCCTTGATATGCATTTCCATATTTGATTGGCCAACTGTGAATTATGAGATGATATTACATTGCAGGTGTGTCCAACACACGTGGCCAATAGAGCCAAGTCTGATTCTGAAAATGAATCCAGGTTAAACCCTTTTACCGGGGCCTCCCTTGTTGCACCAACACTGTGGTCACACAGAAGTGAATCAGTGCTAATGTCAGTCTGAACATGACCCCCGGCTGTAATTATAGTTCTGCAAAAATACATATAAACATCTCTATGAGTCTGTGTAGAAAAAGGTGCTATGGGTAAGCACAGGTTACAAAGGGTCTCTAAAGAATGTGCACGCCGCCTAAATCTCAAAAAGGTTTCATGCATGCTTGCTTTTCAAGCTCACTGACTGACGTCGTCATATTTTTCTTTTTCCTACTGCTGTTGCAGGCAGTTTCTGTGGAGCTTCAGACTTCCTGGCGAAGCCCAGAAGATTGATCGTATGATGGAGGCATTTGCCTCCAGGTACTGCCAATGCAATCCAGGCGTCTTCCAGTCCACAGGTACAGGACTACATGCACAGACTGCAGCAGATATGAGTCAGACTTGGCCAGACAGCCCAGGACAGATAACGTGGGCCAGCCAGACCACCTCAGACTCAGATCAATGCTGCTGACTGTTTGTCTTCTCTCATTAGACAGCTGGACCAGTTTGGGCTGTATAAATCTTTAGCATGTGGGCACAACTTTTGAGCAGTATGACTGCTTTATACCTACCAGCTTATTGTTTGTCAGAGAACATGTTTGAGGTTTATTTATTCTCAGTCAAAACTTCACTGGGCCAACAGTCCAGTTACTTCTCCTTTTTCCACTGTAGTTATCAGCTTGCTCATTAATCGCAGAATAATCACTATCTGTGTCTCCAGCAGTGATAATGAAATTGATCACTGGTCAGTAGACGCCGTCAGTACAGTCTTGGCGCATCATGTATCGTCTGCAGCTCCTATGTTAACTGAGCAAATGTTGAGGAGGACACTGGTGACAGCTCAGGTCATGAATATTGATGCGGTGCAGTGGCAACAAACCCAGACTTAGTTCAGGGTCGTAAATAACAGCGCAGGGGATGTTGACTGGGGCAGCTAGTGTGTGGATGGATGAGGTGGAGGATGGTGAGCAGGAGGTATGATGTGGAGCCACAAGAGTAATGGAATATGGATTTGTGTGTTATGTGTGGGTTTCACGAGTCTAGTACTACTGTGACTTCGATGCAACATGGCCAGGGGGGGCGCTGTGTGTCCTGAATATGAGCTTTTTTGTTGATTAAATCTTCTTTTTATTATACAGAGTATTAAATTTAAAGTGAAAAAATGTATTGATTGATTGCTGTCTAATTAATCACAAGTCATTGGTTGGGCCTGTACCATTATAATAAATGAGTTGAATTTTCATATACAGCCTGTGCTTGCTTTGAAAGAATATGCGAATATAAGAATTTACTTCTTAGACTTCATTTGGATTTGATCTGGAAGATGTATGAAATTTAATTTCTGGAGCTTATTTAACTCTGTAAGTATTAGCTAATGAATTACCTTGTTATAATGATATCAATTATTTAAACCACAGCTTTTCTTAATTTAAACAATAATTTACACACTCTATAGAAAAAGAAATTGTTTTTACACACAGAGACATGGGTCTATGCTGTATTTTGTTTCCTAGTGGCATAATTTGTAATTACCTCCACAGACACTTGCTACGTCCTATCGTTTGCCATCATTATGCTGAACACCAGCCTGCACAATCCCAACGTCAGAGATAAGCCCCCTGTGGAGCGCTTCATCTCAATGAACAGAGGCATCAATGAGGGGGGAGACCTCCCAGAGGAGCTACTCAGGGTGAGAGCTTTGACTTATTACTTCATTAGGTTTGACAAGTATATCTGATCTAGTGCGGGTTTGAAATATTGTACATACAAAATGTTAATCTGTGCTCCAATTTAGCACACAGAGACCTATGCAAAGCAGAGTCATCCTTCACTAACAGACACTGCAGCTCAGCAAAATAAGCTCTTCCCTCTGAACGATTTACCAAGAAGAAAACGACATAAAAACAAGTTGATCTGCCCACATGCTGTCAGCTGACGTCTGCACCAAAGTGCCTTTGGCTTCTTTTAAGTACAAAAAAAGATGTTAAAGTCTCTCCCAGCTCCTAGAGGCACTCAGATGTGAAATATTGTCTCTTGCTTTCCAACAGTGAAATCTGTCAGTGTCGTGTTTAATGTGCTGTTAATATGAAGACTGGGTTGAATGTTTGGAGATGGGGGAGAAGTGTGTGTGCTCATGCGGAGGTGTTAATACAAGTCAGTTACTTTTGTGTTCAGCAGTGTCTTTCCTCTTTCTGCAGAATCTATATGACAGCATCAAGAGCGAACCCTTTAAGATCCCAGAGGATGATGGGAATGACCTGACGCACACGTTTTTCAACCCAGACAGAGAGGGCTGGCTGCTCAAATTAGGTTCGTGTGTGGCTTTGCACATTCTCCTGCTGAGGGGAATGCAAGTCTTGAATGACCGTGTTCGGTTACTCGAGCATTTTTCTCTCTACAACTGAGGCTCTATTCTCACGGTGCAGTCACAACTTAAACTGTAGATAGAGGTTATTGACACTCGTGCTCTTTTGTGTTTTATAAATTTTACCTGCCACACTTAGCCAGCAACCTGTCTGCTCCGTCAACCTTTAAACGTGCTGACCAAATTCATGCAGCAGTGCCAAAACAGCTGTCATTGTGCAGGATTATTCACCACAGTGGCTACTTTAGCACTTTAGCACATCTATATACCTGTATAAAGTTTTTGCAGGAGTACTTTTAGTTTTTTACTTTGCAGCTTTATTCTTATTTATTACTCAACATAAAACTGTTTAATGTTATCAGTGTTGTTTGTCAAAAGTTAAACCGCAAACTGACTGAGGTGATTAAGTGTATTACTACATGTACAAACGCACACACCTGGCTTCAACTTGCACATTCTTTTAACGCTATGTAACGTCTCTGTAGTCTCATTCAACTAGTGAATAGAAATGCAAATAGCCCCATTGTGGCTCACAAACCTGACATGATTACATTCTAGTATGATTCCTCCCTGGAGCCATTTCTCGCACCAGTTCTCACTATATTATTTCTAATTTGACTCTTAAATCCTGGAGCAAGTGAAGAAATATTTATTTTTAGTGAACATTTAGCCATGCTAATTCAATAGCCAGACTTTATTGAAATGTAAGGAAACTGAGCTTTTTTTTAATGATGCGTGTTCCATAGAGGTTCATGAGGGGCGCCACACAAAAAGGAAGGAAATGCCGCATTAAAAAGTGCTGTGGCCGTAAGGGATGGATATTATTGAGAGGAACTAATCGGGAATGTTAGCTTAAAACAAACTCATACAGACACACATAGGGGAAATCATCAGAAAGCGCTTGTGTACTCTCACATACACATCTTCACTTTCCAATTAAACTTTGGGTGCAAGTGTGTATTTGTATATGCATAGCCTGCATGCACGCATCGTACCGTACCTCCAGCAGAGCTGCCTCAGTGGCCCTGCTTTACAAGGCTCAAGCTGAATTCTACTTCAAACCAACACGTTGGACATCTGTGCCTGCTCTCTTTGCTTTTTTTTTTTGGATGTAGTTTGCACACGTTAATGTGCGAGGTGGTGAACTCGCTCTGCGTACTCTATGTGTGCACAATGTGTGTTCCTTCAGGGGTCACATTAGTTCATATCAAATGATGTTTGCTCTCCTCTCCTGAGAGCCCAACTGAGGTTGTATGCCTTTAAAAATGAATGTCAGTAATTATGTATCAGTTGCATGAGTTATCATTTAACTAAGATAGAAATTGGGAGAGACAGTGGTGGTTGACTGTAATCACGTACTTGGTTTGCTTCGGTTTTACTCTAACTGGATCAGCTGCATATTTCAAAAAGTCAGAATGCACTTTCTCTCTATATCATCAGTGTACATTCACACCCCACACACCACAATGGTAGTAATACAGTGCATCAAACCACTGCACCTTTTTTCTCAGCCCAACAATCCAGAGCATCTCATACGAGTTTTCAGGGGCCACTCACAGAGGGAAAAATAACAAAAAGCCTCAAAATAAAAGAAGCGAGTTTTCAGGGGCCACTCACAGAGGGAGAAATAACAAAAAGCCTCAAAACAAAAGAAATATAAATTCAGTCTAAAGATACTATGAGAGAAGAAAATCCACTTTAGCACCTCTATAGCCACTCTGTTTCAGACTGAACAACTGTGTTTCATACAGTATTTCAAAATACACTATCAGTATTAACACCAAAAACTAGTTACCAACCTAAGATCAGCTATAAACTGACCTTTTAGTGGCATATACTGGATTGTATATTAAGAACAAATTTACAGTATGCATCAATTGTCACATGGTGTAATCATGTCGTCTGTTACAAGCAGCCATTCTCACATGGGAAGTGAATAATAGCAGTAAACTAAACTGACGTAAAATGTGTTGTCATCTTCTTTCATTGCTTAAGTCACTGTTTTTAAGAGCAACTCCTCTGACTCAGGAGAAGTGAGTTTGCAGCAAATATTCATACAGTACCACTATATGATCAGTACAACTTTAAAAGTAAATAAGAATTTAAAAAAAAAAAATAAAATCAGAGTGGACGTGGATCAGCTTCACTGAAAAGTGTCACTGTCTCTTGACGGGAGTCAGTCAGTCTGGCGCTGAGGCCTCTGAGTCTCTCCTTTCTCCTCTTTCTATTCCTCTTAGGGGGCCGAGTGAAAACTTGGAAGAGAAGGTGGTTCATCCTGACGGACAACTGCCTTTATTACTTCGAATACACAACAGTGAGTTTCATGTCAAAGTTAATAAAATGCCTTTTTGGCAATTATGTGTGGTGGTTCACTGCAGTTGACTTGAAACAGCTACTTAGAACTACTGAAAAACCAAATGAAATGGAAATAGTCTCTGTTCACTGATGTCATCAAGAATAAAAACTACTCACTGAACATTGTCTGCTTTATGAAACCAGCTGGGAGGACATTTAAACATTTGGTATGTCCTATTATAACAACTTTTGGAGTTTGAGAGTGATACAACAATATAAAGAAGTGAATCTTAAATTTGTTATAGCCTATATGGTTTTATGCACTTTTTTTAATTTAAAAAAATGACACAGTACATAAAAAGATAGCATTTGTTTAAATTTTTAAACAGTGATTTTAAAAGGTGGACAATGTATGTAAATTTGACTGAAGGAATAATATTTTTCTTCTTACAAAAAAAAGCTGAATGAGTAATAAAATGTTAATAAATAATAGTTAGTTTTTGATGCTACAGTCTTATGTCAAAGATACAGCCAGAACAGCGCAATGTGACAACATTGGGACATAAATGATTGTGGCTGAACGTTTACTGTGGTCACAGTATTAAACATAAGTAAAAACAAATGCGGTGACTCTCTTCTTCCCTATACTTTGGTCTTTGCCACTTTTATAATTAATATTATTTTTTGTGTGCTTGTTTTTATACTTTCTTATCACTCACTGTCTCTGTATTTGCTTTGTTGTTTTCCTCCCTTTCTCTCCTTTAGGACAAGGAGCCTCGTGGGATCATCCCACTGGAGAATCTCAGCATCAGGGAGGTGGAGGAGCCCAGGAAACCAGTGAGTGTCGCCTTATTAGAGGCCTCACCCATACAGCAGATCATGTCAATTATCTTTCTTCTGCCTTGATTATTGTGTTTATTACACATCCATTTTGTAAATATTGGTCAGGGCTAATTATCTGACAGCTGCTCGTTACTGATGCCCTGCATCTGCATCCTGTTCTGTCTGTAGAACTGTTTTGAGCTGTATAACCCCAATCACAAGGGTCAGGTGATCAAAGCCTGCAAGACAGAGGCAGATGGGCGTGTTGTTGAGGGCAACCATGTGGTGTACAGGATATCTGCACCCACGCCGGAGGAGAAAGAGGAGTGGATTAAATCCATCAAGTAAGACTTCTCACAATTACTCTTAACAAAAGTAACTGTTGGACATTTTGGGACATCTCTGGGGCCAGATGTGTAAACAATGTGTTTGGATTCAAAATAATGAGCTATAGCGCGTTTATAGTTGTAGACATGCTGGTAAGTAGATTTTGCCACCACCAAACCCATGATGCCAAATACGATATTGTACAATATGAAAGGAACAATTCATGGTACATTTTTGGGAAATACTCTAATATACCCTGGATACAGTTCTCAACCCAGTTGAACACATATGGGAGATGTTGGAGTGGCATGTTAGCATCTCCACCACCATCATCAAAACATCAAATGATGAACTATCTTTTGGCAGAACAGCCTCCATTCCTCCGGTAGGGTTCAGAGACATGTAGAATCAATGTCCAGGTGCACTTAAGCTGTTCTGGCATCACGTGGTGGCCCAACACCTTACTAAGGCACTTTTTATAGGGTTGTACTTTAATCTGTTACACGTCTGTTTGTGTGTGAAAAATGTTTTTCTGTCGCATACCATACAAAGCTCTCACATTAATAACAACCTTACTGAAAGTGAACTAAATGTTGGTTGAGCTCCAAAGAAGATGGTGCAATGTCAAAGACTATTTGCTCAGCAGTACAGTACACGTATATACTGTAACATAGTGCAATCCTCCCTCCCCAGTGATGGGAGATTAGTCACTGCTTATACTGTAGCACCCCAGGGGTGAGCCAGCAAACTTATCCAAGAGAACCAAATCCAAACTGGGTTCATGCGTCTGCAGCCAAAGAGGCTAACGAGCCACAAGGTGCGCTTCACCCGAGGGGTTCATGAGGACTCGGGGCCGTGGGGAGATATAAGACTTTTTACAGAAATTATTTCCCCCTCATCTTAACAAGAGATTATCAAAGAAGAAATGCACTTTCTGCTTATCTGGAGTCATAAACACACAGGCCCAGATGATGCTACCAACTGGGTAAAATGGAGAGACTGGGCTGTTGTCTCTCGTGAATTCACACAATGCTTTTGTAAAAGTGGGTATTTTTATAGTTTCCATTCTAGTTTTTAAACATCTTTTTAGGGACAGAAACTGAGAAAATCTTATACCATATTAGTCACGGCAGCCTTGCCTGGATTCAATCGTTCCACCGTGGAATTTGTTTTATGAAACTGGGTTGTTGAATATGACAATGAACTGTATGAAAGAGTCTTGCCCAAGGACACTTCGACTGCAGGCACCGAGATTCGAACCTTCAACTGTCTGGGAGACAAGTGCTCTACCGACTGCACCACTGTTAGATCAAAAAAAGAGAGTCACTAATGCCAAGAACCATTGTTCGCCCTCCTTTAGACCTATAAACCTGCAGAAAAGTGAGTGGGAAAATGTGCAATTGTGTGTTTTACTATGTATTTGGCTGAGTTCTGGAGGAGGTGAGAGGTTCCAGCAAACCAGAGTATCAAGAAAAATCTTGGGGAGGGGGGCTCTTCTTCAGAAACCATGGAAACCAAACTAGGTCACCAAACAAACTTTTCTTTTTTTTTGATCTACAGTAGTTAAGGCAGGGGTTTGCATAAATCGGCCAACATTTCCATATCAAAGAGGCTCGAGACCGTCCTCTCATGTGACATTATTTATTTCATTGCTGTCCTTTGATTGGCTTCTTCTCCAGGGCTAGCATTAGCAGAGACCCCTTCTACGACATGCTGGCCACCAGGAAGAGACGCATCGCCAACAAGAAGTGAGGATGGGTAATCTTCTCGACCTCCAGTCCTGCCATCTTTCTCTCCTTCACTTCATGAACACATAGCCACACACGGTAAAGCTAGTTCCCCACAGAAGAGACTGCTGACCTCTGAAAAGCCTCAGTTTCTCCCCTGGACTATCCAAAAGTCATGCACTCTTGCTGGAGACACATCACACGCTACTGAGGGGACAGTAGCACTCCAGGAAAGTCAGATATGTGGACTTCGCTTCTGCATGGAGCAGCACATGAACAACCAACCAGTCGGTTTGTTTATCCCCGATCTCTCACACACCTCCTACCTTCCCCTCTCATGATCATAACTTTTCTTATATTTTTCCCTAAAGCACAACTGCCATGTTTCAGGTGCATGCATGTGGGTTAAACAGTGTGTGTGTCTGTGTGTATGCAGCATGCTATCAGTGCACTCAGAATCTACAGTGTGGGTGCTACAAGCACTCCCTCCGCTGCGCTTTATGAAAAAGTCATAGTAATTCAAAATGAGAGTTCAGATGTGTGGTCAGCTACATGCGGCATGACTGTCAAACCGTAAGGGTGACTATAGATGAAGGAGGGAGGAAGGCAGAGACAGGCGGACAGAGAGAAGTGTTTAGGAGCTGTTGGGGAAATCAGTGCAGTATATAACCTCAACTGGACCATGGAATAATCTCACTCCGGTGCGGAGAGTTTCTCTCCAGGTGCCACAGCTGAAGCCTTGCTCAGAGCAATCTCAGAAAGCAGCACTGGCTTACATACAGGTTCCTAACAAAGCATTACAGTCTTGAGTCAGCTGGGCTGATTCCATAAACACATTTGTGCAGAGCAGAGAATTTTGAAATGTGCATACTTTTTATTTTAATTGAGTAGTAAAGGAGCTTTTGCCGAGTCTTGAGATGAAACTTGCTTTTTGGACTTGAAAGTAGTGAAATCCTTAAAATTTCATTGATTTGGCAACACCTGTTGACTGGTGGTGACAGCAAGTATATTTTAATACTCAAGTAAACACTCGCTGAACATCTACTTTTTCTGACAAAGTAGATAGTTTAGTTGTTTACAGTGCAGCCGATCAAACTAACATTTAGTCGAGAAATCAGTGAAAAATAACCAACTGCAATCCCATTCCTTTTTTTGGAACTGGTTACCTTGCTAAAAAGTCGCCTGCTGCTTTTCATCTAGCTCGCTATGGCTGATCCTTCTTGTTCCATTACTGCCTTTCAAAATTAAAAACGACCTGCTGACAAAAAGACTGTCAGCACTAATCTCAGTGTCAAATACGATTTCATTTCCTTTGGCTTCTTTGTAATAAAAGCCATCCTGTGCTTTGCCCGTTCAGTGTTTTTAATATAAAGCTGCAGCAGTGGGAAATGTGGGTTGGAAATAACTTAATATACCAGAGATAAAATTAAAAACTGTAAAGGTACAATAACATTGCATGAAGCTTCCCTGCACTTGGACATGATGTCAGAGCAGTCGCAACCTGTAAGCAAATATTAATAGGGCAGAAGTATAACCGCACCTTAACGCTGGATTGCATGCACTCAGCTTCTTGAGAATCTACTGTGTATATGAAAGCAATTTACAGGATAAAGCCTGTCATTTTCCATATTAATAATATTTTCATCAATCTCCATACAGAGACTAAAACAGACAATGAACTGCCTTTGCTCATGGTTCATGTCTGTCAGTCCTGGATCAGCTTGTTAGTCTGTCACAGATCTTTGTTGTTGTTCAAAAATGATTAAAACACATCACGGAAACAAACCGGGTGACACGTTTTTTCATAACAAAACCCCAGACATGACTATGTCGCCCCAAAGGCTCAGAGCAAGCGGCTATACTTTCCTGAAGTTAGCATGAGTCCAAGTCAACTGTATATGTGTGAGGTCCTGTTTGCAGTGCTTACGTTACATTGCTTTGTTTACATTCCGCTAGCTACTCACAGTCAGGTCTGGGGTTTCCTAATGAAGAAACATGTCACCCAGTGCTGCGGTGTGTTTCACAACAGAGATCTATGACACGGATGAAGAAGCTGTTCCAGGACTGACACACTGATGTACATTAACTTTGAGCAGAGGCAAATCATTGTTGGTTTTAGTCGCTGTATGTAGAGTGTTAAAAGTACTGTTAATCTAGAATATGGCCGGCCTTATCCTGTAAGTCCAGTGGGGGAATGGCGAAGTCCATCACCACCAACAACAACTAATATTTACAGCTGTCACTCCACAATGTAAACATGCTAATTGGTTCTTCCAAATGATCATACATACTGTAGTATCATGAGATTTCATGAAAATCTTAAGGATTTTAACTAAAAGCACTTTCATTAGAGAAAGTCTTTTCAGTCTACTGGCTAAGTTTTATCAGCGGTTCTGCGACAGCCCTATAGGGTACCAGTCTGATTAAGCTTTTCCCCCTGTCTATGGCCTATGTCAGTGAAGGTCGATGTTTTGTTGTGATCCTGTTTGCATTTGGTTCGTAATCCTACAGATCCTTACTTGCTTTTGTGTTCCTCTTTAAAAACACACATATATAAATAATCAACTATCAGTTTTAGTATTTATTTTCATTTGTGAAATGGTTTCATACTATATACTTAAGTTATGTATGTATATATAATGTATAGATAGGTTTCTGGTTTCTTTGTTGTATGCACACTCTGTGTAACATTGTTTGAGCCTACGGGGCAAAAGTTAGCATCAGCTGAAGTTTGGGGTCTACTTTACAAAAGCCTTAAACATAATCCTAAGAAAAGACACAACTATAATGATAATCATGATGACGAGAATATTGGTCAGTGACTGTGACGATGCTGTTAAAAAGCCATGACTGATGAGTTAGAAAGATGGTTGTATTTATGATAAAGATTATAGTGATAATGATGTTAAATGTTAATGATGATGATGATATCACTGGTGATGTCAAAAACACCAGTAGTTTTCTATGTGATTGTAAAATAAAATGAAAGCCTTGTGGTCAGGGCAGAATATTATCTTCTACTGCCCTGTGTGGGCCTATTGTTACATTAACTTTTATATTAGTAAAAATATTGGTCACATTGTACATTATGTGTATCTACATAAAGTAAACAAGGTTACAGCAGATGTATGGTGCATTCATTATTGGTGCTAGTCTTTACCTACATATAGTTACGTAATGTAATGAGCAATCATTATTTAATTATACAAATACTTCTGATGAGATGCCGTGATAGGCCTTTTTGAGTGCATGGCATATAATTCTACACATGGTGAAATAACAGAAATGATGTAGGAGGGGAAAACGTAGGAGGGAGAGGGATGTGGAGCAGAATAACTGATGACAGAGCGCCACCTACTGGGTTTTCAGACAATGTCTACAATAGTCATAGTGTCAGTTTCAATACTAATAAACTGAAAATGTGTCCTACTTTCAACAAGGGGAAACACATCTAGATGGGGGAACGGATTTTGACACAAGACTGGAACACTGGTATCCAGGCTTCCCAGCCAATTGTTTCACCTCATTAAAGATCATTACTGGGATCTAGTAGACACATTTTGTGTTGCTAACAGGCCTTGGCATCACAACACAACTATTATGGATGTGAATAATAATAATAATTGAATAACAGTAATAATAATAATAATGTTGCAGTCAGTGCTCAGTGATGTTATATTTATTTACGTGGGCAGTAGATGTGCATAAGTAACATAGGTGCTTTGTGTATCTCAAGGTCAAAGTGTTCATTGTCATATGCACAGTCAGGAAACGTGTTTCCCTGTACAATGAAATTTTTACTTTACCGTGCACATGAATGCCACTTTACTTTTTTAGATTATTTATAAATAAAAGCAGCTTTAGTCCAAAGTGTTCACAAACAGGGAACCCCTCTTTCTTAATATCAAATCAATGATGTGAACAGACACGTGACTGTTCACGTAAAAATCACGGACACGAGTGACATCACTACTTTTTACTCACGTCGATGCAGAATAAGTACCGCAGCCTCTCTCATCATAATCCGCCCCAGTTGCCATCCGCTTGCGTCAGCGTCGCTGTTACACGCAGGTGAACTGTTGGCTGTCATCACTGCAGTCTCTTATGAACATTATCTTGGGTAACTTCAGTTTGGCCGACTGATAAATAACATATTACGCATTTATTTGCACTTACTCCCTCAGCTCGGTGATGGCACAGCCGTGCGCTGCATTGTTTCTCTCACGGATCCTCTCCTACTGTCGAAATGGACAGGTACAGGTAACTTTTTCAGGGTTACGAGTGCTGCATTTATGTCCATTATGACTGCTACTAGCTACAGCTTGGCCTTTCATAGTCTTTTAGGTGAAATATGTGGAACAGTACCTTTGCCCCACACCCTGGATAAACACTGACATCAACTATGTTATTTCAAATAAGGCGCAGCCAGCAATCGGGCGAAAGGCCGACAGGCCTGGACAGGTCAGAGAGGTGAATTCAACTTAAAAAAATCTTAACAGTGCTGTATATTTGAGTTGCTATATTCACATGTACAACTCTGCAAATCCAGTTGAGCCTGATGTAAACTGACCAAAAGTGCGTTTGGACAGTGAGTAGGACGCAGTGGATCTGTACCACATCATTGAGCTCATGAAAATAGAGCCCAGGGAGTCATAAGGTCCTGTTCAGAACCCTGTTTGTAGTAGCTTCTCTAGTCCAAATCCACATTATAAGACAATTGTTACCTTAGATTTAATAGAGTTTTGCTGTATCAGGAACATCTATTTATTTCAAAGAGAGGATGCAAAGATATTCACAAAAAGAAACTGCTGCTGAATGAGGCACTGGAAGGGAAAATGCACCGTTACATTTTTAACTGAAATACAGAACGTTTTCCTTTTCAGATGAAACTCATATAATAATCTACTGTACAGTATACCATCTGGCAAAAATGTTTTTTATTTTAAACCTTTTGAGATCTTTGCAGAAACACTAAAACAATAACTGTGCTCATTTTTTTCTAAAACCTTACACTGTGCCTCCATCTACAAATGATGTAGTTTCTGCTACAAGAAATCCCCAATAAACATTTCTGACCTTATAAAAACACAACCGGCTTAATCGACATCAAGTCCTTGGGCCACAGTCCCTGAAAAACATCAAACTCACAATTTATATCTATGTTGAATCTTTTCCTTGAATGAAAAGTGCCCCCACCTGGCTGTTTGACCTCATGTGATCTTCCTAAATCTGTGTAACCTGTGATGACTGAATCCTCAGCAGGGTGACGAGGAGACCTGATCGTATTCGGGGCATTTGAGGAGAGCAGGGTAGCTAGTGCTCATCTGGAGCGAAGCGTCACTCGAGATGTCAGAGGGACTCCGCCCTCGCGACCAGGCCTCTGGGTGGAGGAACTGGCCCGAGTGGTCAGAGCAGTTGCTGAGACGAGGACGGTAGAAACTGGGGCGATGAGGCTGGTAGATCTCTTCTGCTGTGTAGCGCTTCATGAACAGGTAGACGGACATGACGCCCGCACTCTGCAGGGAAGAAAGACCCAAAATATTTAAATAAAGGCAATAACAAAATATATAAGCTCATAAATGTTTTTATTTATTTGGTTGTATGACATCACACCTTGCAATTTAATATACTGGAATCCAATATACTATCCCAAAAACGAAGTTTAAACAGGGGACTGTTATAACAACACAGCACTTCTCTTTGGCTGTCTGATCATTTTATTTTGAAAGTATTCACTGGAAGATTTAGTGTGTGATAGTTTCCATAGATTAATAACGATGACCTGAACATGTCTAGCTAGTAGTTATATGTACAGTAGTAGTATTAGAGCTCTACCTCACTGTGACCACGAGATGGCAGTGAATACTCAAGACTCTGAGGACACTCAGGTGTCAGAGTAGACAGTACTGTGTTTACTACACTCAGTCACATCTAATACTGTGCAAGAAATGTTAGAATTCAAATGTCATAAGCTGCTGCTGCAGTGAAAATATGTGGGGAGGGGTAAAGAGATAACATTATTTTCATTCTCAATCAAATTATTTTTGAATAATGAATTGTTTTGTCTATAAAATGTCAAAAAACACATTCTAATTTTTGAGAACCCAATGTAGCATGCTTTGTCTGACAACAGTTTAATTGCAGATTAATTTTCTTCCTATTGTTGCAGCTCTAGCTGAGCTTGCTTATTGTTTATGCCATTTATGTCGGTGGTCAGTTGCTCACCTCGGTGAGTAGGAAGGAGATGGCAGCGAAGGCGAAGGACCAGCCGTACTTGTATGCAAAATAGGCCTCGCTGCTTTTAGTCCTGTTCAACATTTCATCATTTATACTGGAGATGTACAGCACCAGTCCCACCACCAAAGCTAGACCTGAAACACAGAGAGAGGAGAAGACAGTCAGGATGATGAAGACAAAAACATGAGGAAAAAAGCTGGGAGGAAGATTAGAGCACCTGAGAGGATGAAGAAGATTCCAGAGACGAACGCCAGGATAGTGCGGTGTGGCCGAACGTGCCCGATGTTGTTGAGGACAAAGCCGATGAACATGAAGAAGAGGCTGACCAGAGGGAACGGAGTGGCTGAGCGGATCATCTCTAAAAGAGGAAGAGACAGGGTGGATGAAAACTGCCTTTAGCCCCAAAAACCAGCTAGAGAAGTAGTGTGACATTTCTGCTCATAAACAATATCCACATAAGAAATAATTCACAAAAAGTCACAAAGATATGGGTGTAAAAAGATGCTCATCAACAGATGAGCTTCAGATTGAAATTAAGCAAAGTGTTGTTGAACGACCCCAAGTAAAGTGAAGGTGATTTAATCATTTGTCACGTCTGATTTCTATCGAGCCAAGACCACATCTGCTGGAGAAAGTAAGTGTGATGATTGAAATAGACATAAAATGACATACTGACACGCTACATGGGCTTTATGTTGAGTACAGCTTTGACACTGAGGTACACTGAAGGACTGGTGAGGTGAATTGCTATAAAGAGCCAGTAAGTATTCTGGAGGAGCGGAGCAAAGACCCTAGAGCTTGGACTACTCAGACATCTGTCTGGCTACACTCAGAAGGTTTCTGAACACAACCCTATTGGAAAAGGACATGTCTTGGATAAAAACACCCAACATTAAGGGGCACCTTGACCTATCTGAAGCTGCTGTTTGAGGTTTCTGTTGTTACTCACTGAGCACGTTTACTGTGGACTCTGACGTCAGCTGGACGTTCATTGGCATGATGTACTCGATGGTGAAGCAGCGACCAGACTCGTCACCTGAGGAGGAAGCAGGCAAAAATGTAGAGACAAATTTAGAGACAAGGTCATGAAGCAAGGAAGATGAAGACATGAGACATGAGAAGAGTCGAGGAATTACAGACTGAGAATCGTCCTGCCTTCCTTTTCATCTGCCGTTAGAATAAGACACTTATTTGAGGAACATTAAACATGAATTCACTCCTAAAAGTACATTCTTTGGATCCTTTAAATGGAACAGATCAGTAAAGCAGGTTATGAAAAGACCCCCTGGATTTACTTATATTTTCAGGGTAGATTTCACTTCTTCAGTTTATGATGTGTGACTACCTTACATTTATTCATCAACTTTTTATTTTTATTTTACTGTTACATCACATCCACAGTCATTATTATCACTTCAGCGTTTCTCTCACATACAGACGCGAGCCGTGTCATCCGCCAGCTACCTCTGTGAGATGACATCTGCATCAGAAGACTTGTAGGTGCAAGTTTGTGTGCGTGAGCATCTGTGTGTGTATGTGTGTAATTATACTGCAGGACTGAAGTGTCCTGTTTTATAGTATGATGGAAACAGAGAAGAAATCCAGACACATCTTCTGTCTTTCTGTTGCTCTTTGTCTCACTCTGCCTCTTGTATCAGATGCTTACAACTTCTCACACACACACACACACACACACACACACACACACTGATGAAGGAACCGTGAATGGCATTCTGCGTGAATGTCAACCGGATGATGCGGTGATGATTTATCACTGTGAGAGCATCAGCTTCCTGACTCTGACACATTTAGATGCTGCACAATACAAATGAGCAGCTTTGAATATGATCACTCCACTTTAAAATCTAATGGTTTGTGCTACGGTCCCGATTCACACATAATTCACCGTCAAACTACAGGAGAACGCAGAAATTTATCACAAATTCAGGCACATTTTTTGAACCACACACACACCATCACCCTTGTTACTAACCAGCCAGGAAGCAGACTCTCCACAGTCCAGAATGCAGTGAGGTCTTGATGTCAGTGCTCTGGTTCAGAGGCATAATCACTCCCTCCTCCAGGTACAACCAGTAGTCGGTGCTGACTGAAACTCCCAGGAGCCCAAGGCCACTGATTGCAAAGACACTGCTCAACAATGTCAGAGCCTTTCTGCTGCAAGCACTCATGGCAACAGCAAGGAGATTCCAGCACCCTGCGAGTAAGGAAGAAGAAGAAAAATCCTGGGAACAATCAGTAGGAGGATGAAAAGGAATCATAAGGAATGATGGAGAATCAGAATGAAAATGGAGACTGGATGAAAACATTTCACAATACTAAGCTGGGCTTTAAAGGAGCAGCTCAGCATTGTGGGAAATACAAGTTTTCTTTGTAACTGCTAATCAAAGATAAGTGATTAAAACATTGTACCCTATTTGTAAAAGGAGTTTGCACTGGAATGTGCATCTTAGGTTTGTAATAGAGGTCCAATTGATACAGATAGTTGGGTAGGAGAAACACCTCTTTCACTAAGCATCTGTCACCTTGTTCAGCCACTCTTCTGCCTGTTTAGACCTTTTAATGAGTAGTATTCAGCTTCTCAGACTACTGTCAGCTGATACGAAATCTGTAAACAAATGCTCATGTTATTTGAAATCCAAGACTGGGATTTGACATTTTACAGTCACGAATCCAAGAGTCTGGGAAAAGGTTGGACATTCATAGAAGCATTCGTAAGTCGGAGTCCAGATTTAGCAGACCGATCACATAATAAGACATCATCTATTTCAACAAGGTGATGATCTACAAGCAGTGACAGAGAGAGTAACCATCTCTCGGGGAGATGCTAATGGGCAGCTGATGATTAGGTGACTTTAACAACAGCTGAACTATAATTAATCAGGGTGAGTTCTAGTTGTTTCTTCTCTTAAAATGGATGCATTTCACATGCAAGCAGGAATCTCAGGAAGCATCTGTTGGTTTTTTGTCAAATAGGATTTAACCTGATTGACATTGGCAGCGCCTGAAAAGGTCAAATATAACATAAGCACTCAGCTGGTTCTTTATCCAGGAACATCACATGCTCAAGTTGAATCAAGTTGTTTTCATATTCAAATCCCTAGACACCATGATCCTCTTTAGCAGTAGTATTTTTGAGTAGAACGCGATTAAAACTCAGATAAAATCAGCTCTAAGCCACAGTTGAAAGAAGCCACAGAATATAGGAATTTGACATAGAAAATCATTTGCCGACTTCATGTACTCCTGGAAAATTCCAAACGTGCAAATGACTGCACTTTTCTTTGAAAATGATTCATCAAGATGCTAATGCAGAAAATGTAGTGAGCACTGTTTTTGTGATTTGCTGGTGAGATTACATCAGAACTGGGCAATTACATGATCATAATTAAAGAAGTCATGACTACAGAGCCTTGTCATATGCAAATCAACACATCAGATCAAAACATTTTGCACATATGAGGCAATATGTTGAGGATTCTGAAGCCTACAAGTCATGCATAACTTTCAAAATAAAGTATGAAATATAAACCACCATACAGGCTGGTCTTTTTTTTCTTACATCAGATATGGTGGATTCAGTTAAAATAGGCCAAAGGAGACTAGGGCGTCCTAGCTTTTTAGAATTTTACAACTAGTCACAGTGACTGACCTTACACCACGTGACATGTATCAACAGTTTAGATTAGTCTAAGGCTGCTGATGCGGGCAGAGTGTTGATTAAAGTCTCTCAAAGAAATTGCATGGTAAGTGAGCACAGCATAGCAATTTCACTTATCACTAATAAGGATCATAAAGCAAACAAATATAAGTAAGATTACCAATAAAGAATAAACTGTTTTGACAGACTCTATCAAATAAAGATGTTGAGACTGAAAAAAAACTTTGTTGTTGTAAAGAAATAACATATTAGGTACTGGCCCATTTTAGACTAAGCTAGGCTAAAATGGACCACCATTTTCAGCTAAAGTGGGCCACATATGTACACACTCTTACAGAGAAGGTGCACAGGAAAAACAGGGTTATAGCTGTTATGTTTCAATAAAAAACTGAACTTTTTTTTTTTTTACTGTTCATTGCAGACAAATATGGCGGGACAGGAAGAGAAGGGAAAAATGAGAGGAGACACAAGAGAGAAACAGGGATAATGGCATCTATGATGAAGATGGTTATATCTGCAAAGACAGCATTTAAAGGAAATGCAAACAAGACCTCAAGAGACTTCACTGGATGAGATTTTTAAGACTAAGGCATGAAAGTTGACATGCTTGGTGTTTTAGAGCTTTTCATGCCAATGATGTTCTAATATGTTTGGTATATTTTACTCCGGCTTCCTCCCTCAGTGCAAAGACATGCAGCTTAGGTTGGTGACTCTAAAAGGAGTGAGTGTGAATGTGTGCTTGTTTGTCTACATGTCAGCCCTGGGATAGACTGGTGACCTGTGCAGCAGGGTGGACCCCACCTCTCACCCAATGGCACCTGGGATTGGCTCCCTCCCCCCCCCTCCGACTTTATTCAGGATAATCTAGAATATAGATAATGGATGGATGGATGTGTCCTAGCTCAAGAGGCCCCCTGCTGACACTCCAACTCTCAGAATTCCAATACAATTATATTTTTTCACATTTAAAATAAAAAACATTTGAGAGACTCGTTGCAGTTGATAAAATCATCATTAAATTTCATCCGTAGCATACTGTAATATAAACAATTTACCAAAAAGTGGCCCATTATGGCCGAGTCCACCCTATCTAATCTAGGATAACAGTAAGAATAATTCCCCAAATTACCTTCTACATCATAACAATCCTTCAGTTATTCTCCGGAGACGTGACTGCCATTGAAAATACTGAAATAGTTTTCAGTGTCAATCCTAAATTACTCAGAGACGTACAGTGCTTCATGCCTTATTAAAACAAAGTATTACAAGTAAGAGGCTATTAGCTATGATATCAGGCTATAGATAACAGTATGGTATAGTACTATTTATACAGGAGTGTGGGATATCACAGGGGGGTGGAACACAACATTGGAACTGCGATGAAATTAAATCTCATGCTCACAACACACCGGCACTTAACACTAGTCAATTAGAAACAGGAGCTTTTATTTTAAAGGATGACATAACATGCAGATAGATGTAAACACTTCAGTTTAGATAGCCCACATGCCGTTTGTTCTTACCTGCTTGTAATCGGACCAGTCTGCGCAGATCGTGCTGAAAGTTGTGGATTCAAATGCCCGCAGCCACCGTGAGAGACACCGTTTGGTTATGGGCGATTTGAAGGGAAACTTAGCGGTGGTAAGTCGATTTGGTCACGAAGTCCTTCAGAAAACTGTAAAATGAAGCAGCGTGAAGATGTAGGACCCAGACGACGCAGCAGCGCATCAGTGCAACCCACCAACAGAACCAACAAAGCCAGACGCGTGGTCCTGCTCTGCTGACTGACTTCAGCTGAATGCAGGGACACTAACAGATGTGTGTGCAATACGTCTTTCTAGAGTGTTTGTTTGTAGCCATCATTGTGTGGACATGTCTTCACACCTTCAATGAGCTGTTTGAGGGTTAAAAGCTGGTTTTAGGGTCATGGTTAGAAGTAAGGTAAGGGACTAGGACATGCATTATGTCAATGAGTGTCCTCATTGTTTAAAGACCAAGAACAGCTTCATTAAGATCTGACAAGTAGTGAGACAGCTGCCCGTTGAGGCGATGCATTTCAGTGGAAAAAAGAAAATACAAAATGTACCTGTGGGGTCATACAAACAAACAGAACATATACGGAAAATAAACAATGACAAGAGTGTGCTTTCCTACTAAAGATAAACTACCCTACTTTTAGCCAAAAGACCATTCTATTAATATTAATAGATTAATACCTGTCCCCTTTTTGAACCCTCTTCACCCCAGTCCCTTATTACAAATGGTTTAATATTTGTCAAACAGTTCAAGTATACAACTTTATCACATCAGACGGTTTTAATATGTGAAAACGATGTGATGTGATGTTTACAATGTGGCACATTCACATACGTTTTGTAAGGTATGAAGAGTTGTACCTTTTCCATTCGGAAAGCAACACATGTAGGCCGAACTACAACCACCTCACTTCCCCAAAATAAACCAGAGCAGATGAATATTTTTAATAATTTATACACAGTATCCGTCATACCACAATAGACAGAGGAAGAAGAATCAGGTTAACAAAAGCAGGGGCAATGAAAGGAAACATACAAATATTTTTCTGGGGCCCCAGCCTGTAGTGATACTGTACCCTTTCTGGCCTAACGTTTGATTATCTCATGGGTCAGACGGTATTTTTTTATTCTCTTTGATACAGATTCTCAATATGAGACATGTACTGTAAGCATTCAGTTTTCTCTTACCTTTAAACGTGTCATTTTGGTCCAGATGTTGCAGCGGGAACATCAGTCTACATGTTAAATAACTCATTCAGGGGTTAAACTGTAGTAGATGGTGTTCCTAACTTTGGCAGTTATACAAAATAAGAACTATTGTAGCTTTGTGCCTCAGTCGTAACCTCTCAAAAAAACAACAACAAACAAACAAAAAAACAAACAAACACCAAAACAAAACACTGGACACATCTGACTGAAAATAAAGAGACTCAGTTTTGGCACCATGAAACAAAAAGCCATTTACACATTTGTCTGTTAATAACTCAGTCTTTTAACCAAACAGGCTGGGCTACATGACAGCAAGTGAGAAAAGACGACGCGCAGGAAAACACACGATGCTCATTTGGACTGGTTTGTCTCATTGTGTTGCAACAAAGTGGGGAGACTCCATGCTCCACAATGGGGATCTCTGTAACATGCAGGGGTCTTTCTCATGCTTAGATCGGGCCTCGCCTCACGCATGCACACGATATATAAAGAATCAACATATTTCAGCCACCAAGGGCTCTGAAACTCTTGTACCTTTAACTTGGTTCTGAATTCAGTTTGTTACAGAAGAAGTCAGTCCTGAGACGACCAAGGCAAGAGGGCATTCAACTGTTTCGTGCACAGAAGGTCCCGCATATTCTCTATGCACTGAGTAGTATAAAACAATGGATAAATTGTGGAAATACATATAACAAGTTTTGCTGATACCAAAGCTACCAAAGATTCAGCCAAACATATATCTCTTCTTAGGGGTAATCTAAACATAGAAATGTTCAAACCATCTATGGTAGTAAAAGCACATTCAGTTTGTAGTATAAAATCTGCAAGTAACTTCTCTTTTTGAAACATCTTTACAAAAAAAAGGCTAACATACTAAAAAGGGTTAGACATAAAAGTTGAGGAGAACATAAACAGGAACAAAACCATTTTTTCTTAACAATTAGAAACTTTTCTCCAGACTAAGACTTTTCAAAACATACAACAATTATATATTAACATAGTTTATACCATAATGCTAAACTTTACAATGATACCAGATGTGCACAGCATCCTAGAGTCTACTGCTCATACAGAGTCAGAAAATAAGCATGCAACAGAGATCTGCTTTGTGCATATGGAAATAGCATCTTTATACTTTAAAACTTTGATCCACAGTTTTCTGACCCTATATCCTGCATTCACTCTTCATAGGCAACATTCACTGCATCAAAAAGGCCTGGACAAGCATGATGTGCTTCTGTTTCTATTGTTGGATATACTGTAATTCCACGACCTACAAAACAACAGATATAAACGGGGTTTTATTGTGTTGACACCGCTGGGAAGGCCAAAGGGGGAAAAACATTACAAGGACTTTAAGAACTGCAATAGAAATGTTTTCTTCCACTTCTACTTTGGCACTCATGTAACAGTATACTACCTCTTTTCTCCTTGAATATATAAATATAAATATACAAGTGTAGCAGTTCAGAAGTAGACAGAGCCAGGACAGAACAGAAAATGATGTTCCGTTCTTGTCGTGCATTGCAGCTTGTTGCGTAGTAAGACGAGGAACATGAGTGGGATGAGAAGGATCTTGCATCTTTAATACCTAATGAGATAGTAACTCATACTGGGACGCATTCATGCACAAGAAAAAGGCTGCAGGTCTGAAGAAACACAGATATAGATTCAGAATAAAGAAAGTAATGAGATGTTTGGGGAAATTCTGCAAAAATATCAGTCATGAACTCTTTCCTCTCCTTTCAGATTGCACTGATATTGATAACTAGAAGACAGAACACTGTAGAGGATGACATGAGTCTTTTGACAGCAGGATGTTGGTCAGAGTTTGGAAAGCTCCTGTAGTCAGTGACAGTCTGTGATTCTGTACTGTTTTCTCCTCATACCACACTTTGCAGGGATGGGTGGATGAACTGAGGGTTGATGCAGGAGAAGCCGGCAAACTCGCTCTGGTCGATGTTGGCGATGACCAGCTGGTCGGGAGGGGTCAGCACGGGCTGGGTACGCGTGAAAAACTTGTCGAAGTTTTCTGCTCCTTTGCCACACTGAAAGAAATCGAACATTAGTTTGATCTCTGGGCTGTATAAAGAATACAAAAAGATGTTTGGTAAATGGTCTTATACTTGTATAGCGCCTTTCTATGCTTTTACAGCACACTCAAAGTGCTTTCACATTATTCGGCCATTCACCCATTCGCACTCCCAAGCACTCATGCATTCACACACCGGTGACATCACCGGGAGCAACTGGGGGATCAGTGTCTTGCTCAAGGACACCTCGACATGTTGACTGGACAAGCCGGGAATCGAACCGCTAATCCCCCGTTTGATTAAGGGTAGCCATTTGATTAAGGGTAACAGGACTGTAGGCTCATGATTTAAAGGTTTTTCCTCATGTCTTTTATTAAAAAGCTTCTCCAGAGTCCCAAAGAGAAGGTGGCACAAGAGCATGTTGAAGCCTGATGTGTAGCCAGGCACATGTTCAATCCAATGCAGCTCCACTTGAGGATGTCATGTGTTACAAGCAGCTGAATAAAAAAAACAAACAAAAAAAACTCTCTCTCTTTCTCTATATATATATATATCTATATCTATATATAGATATATATATATCTATATATATATACTGCTGTGCACAGTCACGACTCTTTTAAATGACACATATTCCTTCAAAATAAAACAATAAGTCTGTAGTTCACAGTGGATTTCAGTGCCTGCTCTTTGCAACACATTTTCTCAGGAGACATATCAGCATCTCAGGCATTTCTAGCTGCTCAAAAATATTATACAAGCCGAGCCATAAAGCTTCAGATGGATCTTTTCTTTGCAAGTCCCTTCAGTCCATTTAATGACGCAGTGTATGAGCTCACAACTGTGCTACACCACACAAAGCCGCCTGAATGGAAGAATCTAGTTTTAGCAAATGTTTCCCTCCTCCCTGTTTCAGTGGAGACAGACACATCCGCTGTGTAACCCTACATTTATTGCGGCCCTTGTGGTGGAAGCAAAGGGAACTCTGCTCTTGGAGAGCTATTTTTTAATCGTCAGTGGGTTGTGTTGGGCGCTGTGGGTGCTGAGGGGATGGAGGATGCCAGGATTTGCAAATTTAGTGGTGCTGGTGGCTGCAGCTGGCATCCAGCATCAAGCTCTATTGGGTGTATATAAAGCCGCTGAAGTGGGTGAGGATGAATGACAACACACATACAATAGGCATCCATTTATGTACACACTCAAACTGAGGAAGCATCAGATTTTTTCAAGTCATGCATTTAAGAATGAAAATGTTTGCTTTTTCAAGTTATTTTCAGTTTTAACATAATGTCCTACATGTTGGAAGGCAAGACAAACTTAACACAAGAGAATTAAGATAAGTTATGGTAATGTTTTGATGCAAATATCCACTGCTTTAATGCACGCACAGTATAAACCTGTATGATAATGCAAAATACCACTCTTGGCTTAGGTAGAAATGGTCTATTAATAAAGAGAAGCTGGGCTAAAGGTTGATGTAAACTAGCTACTGACTAAATAATAATGCACTGGAAGCTGCCATCTCATCATCATCTTCTTCTCACTAGCAACAACAGTCCTGCAACAAATCATCCCATCATGGAGGTGATAGCATTCAGCACTAGAGAGGTGTTTTATTGTGTGTTGTTTAGCTTGAATTAGTTTTAACAACTTGCACCTATATAACTGCCAAGTGAATGTACAAAAAAGCTAAAAAAAAATAAAAGTTAGCAATGGATGAAAGGAAATGTGTGAATACATGAAAACAAAATTAATGCCATACTTCGTGGAAAGCAGTACAGAAATGCCATTAAGGGACACATATTACAATAGGTGCTTTACACTGCATTGTTTTTGTAAAATTTGACAAACTACACCATGAGAACCAACGTATGGTCACTGCAAGTGACACCGGTCCCCACAAAATTAGTGTGCTCTTGGGTTTCTGCCCTCACAAGTATAAAAAAAATGAGGCCACACACACGTGTGCATGTGAGAACATCACTCACCACTTTGGGTTTAAATGGCGGCTGGATCTCTTTGTTGGCCAGCCGGTCCCAGTCAATGCGTCTGAAGAAGGCCTGCTCTCTGATGTCCCTCTCGCCCTCTGGGCCACAGCCGAGGCGCTTTGATGGGTGCTTGGTCATCAGCTGGTAATGAGCACATGAAGAAGAATAAGAAGATGTGACACAGGCAGTTTGGTGCTTGTGGGGAAGTAAAAATATTGAGGGGCAAAAGAATGAAAAGTTATCTTTGAAGCTGCGTTTTATTTCATTATCTGACACTCACACAACCAGCTTTGAAGTTGTTGCAGGATATTACGCTGCTATCCCATACCTCAGTTTTTTGATTCAGCAGCCACTTTTAATTTTGACCATGAATCTTATTTACAAATGAGATGTGATGAAAACAATAAGAGGGGACAGGATATTTTCTTTTGTCAGTGGCTCTGAGATAATTTTTCATGGTGGCATGCAGCTACACGGTGTAATGAAGGTGAGGTATGTTATTAAAAGACTAAATCAGACTGGGCCTGAATCTTCTCTGGTGTGTTAATTGATACTGAAAACTCATTTCCTTGTTGGTAAATAATAACGACAACCATGCAGCTGCTTCATTGCAATGATGTCACAGATGTGATGCCCAGGTGAGAGAAGAACCGCCGGCTGCTAAATAAAGAACCAGTTTTGAAAGCTATAAAAATTTGTGGGATAATTGTTTAAAGTTTTAAATGTCAGACAACAGTGGCAAATGTGGCATGGCATCTTCAAATGCTAAGCTAAAGATATCCATAAATTATCCTTTTGCAGCTTAATCTCACAGCTGTGAAAACTGTTATTGTATGTGGCTCTTGAGGAGCCTCCTCAAGATTAAAGGAAATAACAGCGATGTCACGACTTGGGCTTGGATGACAAATGTGTAAACAAAGCCTGTGTTACAAAACAAAGATATTTACCAGGCTTGGAGAATCTAATGCTATTGAGGTGCATCATGAGAGAATAGAGGATGTGAAGCTGATCTCACTCCATGATGACTTTTGGGTAAATGTGCTGTGTTTGTAAGTTAATTAAAAACTAAAAAATATATTATCTCATAGAGCTACATACAGTAGCAGATGCTTCAAATACGTCCAAATGTCCACTTTAGTGTTCAGTTTGAGCACAGACAGAAGAGAAATCGATTCATCTGCTAGCTAGCGTTAGCTCATGAACTGAGAGCTGTGCTCAGGGTCATTTTTCATTCTGTTGCTCTCAGAAACTGATCTAATTTATATTTTTCCTGGATGGAACTGGATTATTTTTGATACTGCATCATTATAAGATTATGTGGATTCGGGAAGTACCATCAGAATTTGGGTGAGTGCTATGACACAATGGTACAGGGTTAAAATGTTGGCAAGTATCAGTTTCGCACGTGAACGGAAGATTATTGCTGTGACTCAAGTGTACAGTATGTAATGCATGAGAGTCACATGCTGGGGCTAATGAACATCACATGCCAGGATTGCCCTTATGAGCATGTTGTCATGTTAGCGTTAGCATTT